CTACGAGAAGAGGACGGACAGTGGGCGTCGGAGATCTTGGGCGGGGGTGGAGATGGGTGGGTACTGGGCTGGGTAGAGCAGAGGGTGGGTGGGCGTGAGACTTGAGGGCGCGGAGTAGAGGGCGGAGAAGGGAGAGGGCGGGACATACGACGGTGAAGAACTCCTGTGGAAGAAGAGGAAAAGAACGGGGTAAATAATTGCTCAAAATTCCTACTAAAAACATAATCGAATATTCTGAGTGCATAAAATGACAATGAAAAATATTCAATGATAGTGAATATTCCTACTAAAAACATAATCGAATATTCTGAGTGCATTCTACCCTCAATCTTAAAGAAATGAAATTTCGATACAGCACAGAAGGAATCCAGCATTTCAGTCGTGAATTTAGTTCGAAAGAGCTTCAATGATATCGCTCTGATGGCAATCAATGGCACATCTAATAACTTATTCAAACAATTTAACAAAAGGAATTTTATGCATGAAATTCCCTAGTAATGACATGAATTACTACTGATACCTAGTAAAAAACTTCCTCTGGTAGTTCTAGTAGAATGGGTATGTGAACTAAGTATGTAAAGAATGCATATGCATAAATAAAATGCAACGTGCACACAATACAATATATATATATATATATATATATACACACACACACACACACACACACACACACACACACACACACACACACATATATATATATATATAATATATATAATATATATATATATATATATATATATAATATATACACACATATATACGTATATATATGCACACACACACACACATGTACACACATATACACAAACACTATCACATGAACAGCATCTCCATCAACTGCGCCGTGTCTCCGGCGTACCCCCCCCCCCCCTCGGGCGTCCCAGGAAGCCCGCGAAAACCCATCCGTTCACTCACGCTGTGGTCGCGGGCGGGCTGGCGCGTCTGTCCTCGGGCGCGGGCTGGGGCAGCTTCGCGACGGGGGCGGCCAGGGGCGTGCTGAGGACGTTGTGGGTAGGCGTGGAGTCCGGGGAGGTAGGGGTGGGCGTGTGGGCGTGAGAGTTCTGCTGGGCCGCCGCCATGGAGGTGTAGAGGGCGTGGGACTGGAAAGCGCCCAGACTCCCTGCAGAAGGCGAGGCGGTGGTTAGAACGAGATAGGATTTAAACTACATTTCTCAAGGAGAGCGGGACCAGCGGCGGCCGTTAGGAAATGTCTATCGGAGTCGCTAGGTCTTGGCTGAGTCTTGGCTATGGTGACACTCAAAACAAAAGCCAGATGTGGACATCGAATTTTAGAAATTATATGCTAACTAGGTATAATTGAATGCAATATGAATGTGTGATAAATAATAAAACAATAATAAAATATACAGTATAAGTACAGTACAGTATGTGAAAGTATATAATCATATGATAATATACAGTATAAGGTGTCTAATGTACTCCAAGTACCTCAGCAATATGGAAAATAATTCTCTAATGGCGATAATAAAAGGCACTAATAAAGGCACTAGCAATATTATTGCATTCAAAACAAAAAATGCTTTTATGTGTACCATATGACACATATTAGGCAATTTAGAGAGTATGGAAAGAACCCTTAAAAAACACAGGGCTCAGAGGCAGTCGCGGGCGCCGCTAGTCTCAAGAAATTATAAGGGTTCTCTAATATATGCCTTAATTTATCAGTGGAAAGATAACTTGTTTGGTTGTATGCAAGATTTTTGCAATGAATTAGAATATCTACAGCATTATGACCCTTTGGTACAGTTTCTCCATTATCTAAGACTAATGAAAAGATGGATAATGTTGTAAGTAGAAAACATTAATTAATCTGATTCAATGACAAATGACATACCAAATTAAATTACCCAAAGACAACGTACATACCACTTTAATCCATCCAAAGACAACTTACCACTTCAATCCATCCAAAGACAACTTAGGCAAAGCATGAACCACATCACTCGTATCAAACTCACCTAAGGACGTGGGCAAAAAGGCCGCCCGCACTTTCTCCGAGTCGAGGGTGGCCTGGTAGTCTGAGGGCGTGTGGGCGGGCAGCGTGGCACCCATAGCGCCCATCCCACCCATTGCAGCCGTCATGTGGGTGAGCGCGGGCGGGAAGTGTGGGTGGTACATGCCGCGTGACATAGCGCTGCGGGCGGGAACACAGAAGTCAAATGAGCAAATAATAGAAATATCATCAAAATTATCATTATTAACTGAATTATTGCTAAGATCATCACGATTATCATTCTTAATTGGAAAGTTTTTTTTTTTTATCAACTACTCTCTTAAAAAGGCTGATAATCAGTTACTAATAAAGAAACTTATTATTCCAGTTCGGTTGATTGGAATACAAATCAGGTTTCAATTGTTTGAGGCAAAACATCCCTATTCATTGGAGAATCTTTGAAAACAAACAATATGATGCAATAATGTTTTTTGGCTTTTAATGTTCCGTTAAACGTGGGCTTATCGAACAAGCAGTTTTGTAAATAAGAAGAGGATAACATTCATGTAAAGGCAAACGTTTGTATAATGTACATGAATTAAATATCTGCATATTCGCAAACATGCATACATTCAGCTTCATTAATGTATAAATGATGAACAACGTAGTTCAGCTAATGTATAACACGAACACGCGAGCCAAATACACTAACTAATTCAAAATGTTCACTAACTGTCGCCTGCAATTGATTTATTGCAAGGCTTCTTTTTCATCTTTATTTTTTGTTCCTTGTTCATCTTTACTTTGGTGAATATCTAATTCCTCTCGCACGCTACATTTCATCCTAGTTCTATACTTTCAAACTTAAAAAGAGTGAGCAGAGGGCATCTAATTACTTATTTTAGAGCCGGCTTGGGTGTATATCGACTTCCTTTACATCGTTATTAACGTTGCAGTATAAATAATCTGCATCCTGTAGGACCCTATAAAACCAGTGGAGGTTCCCATTTTCTAATTAGAAACAAAATTAACCTTGTTTTACGGTTTTCATAAAAAAGACAGTTACGTTCTATTCAATTTCAGGTTAACGTTTCACATTACCCAAACTTTGAAATGCTTACGTGGAAAGAAAGGAAAAAAGGAAGTAAAAATAGCAACCATTTCCTCATTTGCAGAATAAAAGCCTACTGGGCCGTCCCATAGGATATGCAAACGAACAAACGCAAAGCTGTTCACAAAGCGTTGAATTTTATCGACCAGTTCCATTTCTGTGGCTGTGAAAAACCGTCCGCCATTCCCAGTGTCATTAATGACAAATACCTCAAAATCACTGCCCAATAATGCTAATAATCGCTTACAAAATCAGAGCACCTGGTGGTAATGCCTGAACCTGGCGCCCACTTCCACAATTAATTGTTCTACAGGTGCACTTACGGCATGAATTTCCAAACGGATTATCAGGCAGTTAACCATGCTATTCGGCGCCATTATCTCCAGGTGCCAAACGCTTTGTCGAAGTTCGGTCTTTTCAACATAAACATTTTGCCTTTTTATTTTGATTTTGTCGATTTCCGTCGTCGATATTCACGCGGTGACGAAAATATTCCCCAGTCCGTACTTCAGAAACAATACGATCTTGATTATACGAAATAGCGAGAGATAACATTGTCGGCAACCGTGGCCTTCCGCTTCCGAAGGGCTCCTCCCACGCCTTCCGCTGTGTTTCGAACCACGTGTTTCTTTTTGCTTCATTGTTCTTTCTGGGACATCCGCATCGCCGCTGGCACCCAAATGTAGGGCTGGAATGCTTAATTTTTAAGTAAATATCACCATGCACTCCATACGGCATTCCTTTTCGTGTACAGAGGATCGCAAAACGTCATCGGAAAGGGAATGTAATGAAAGAAACTTGCAATTTTGTAGACTAAACAATATGACAATGCGCGAACGTTTCGGAATGACGTCACGCTTCGAACGCCATAAGCTAATGTGAAGCTAAATGCTGGAAACTGAAATCACGACAACGCAGCTGGCCAACTGTGATTTTTTTGAATCTCGATTTTATAATTACAGAAAGAAAATACAAAAAAGTCCGTTTATCGCAGATTGTCCCGTTTGAGAGACAGTCAGGGAAAACACACTCTTCGGTTCTCTAAACGATAAAATAATGAAAGTGGCTTTTGAAGTGAACAGACAAACCGATTTAGGTGTTTTGGGAGATTTAATTATACGTTGAGGTACAAAGGTGGCGTGTGTTGTCGGTGACCTGCTTCATGGTGGTTCGTTTGCTAATGGTAATTGTTCCTGATATGCCAGTGAAGCAATGCATCCGCTGCCCACCCTGCTGGGGGCCATCCCTTCCCCCTTCCTCTCTCTCTCTCTCTCTCTCTCTCTCTCTCTCTCTGTCTCTCTCTCTGTCTCTCTCTCTCTCTCTCTCTCTTCTCTCTCTCTCTCTCTTCTCTCTCTCTCTCTCTCTCTCTCTCTCTGTCTCTCGTTATGTTATGTCTGTGTCTGTCTCTATCTGCCTGCCTCTCTTTATGTCTGTTTGTCTCGCTCTCTACCTCTCATTCTTTCTTTCTGTCTGAATCAATCTATCTTTGTCTCCCTCCCTCCCTCTCTCTCTATGTCTATCTGTCTATCACTCGCTATATCTGTCTGTCCCTGTCTCTTTCTTTCTGTATGTCTGTCTACCTATCTGTCTCTGTCTCTCCACCCCCCCCCCCCTGTCTCTCTCTCTCTCCCCCTTCCTTTCCTCCCACTCTCCTCGCACCAGTTCGCTTCTCGCCTCTTTGCCCCGTGTCCAGCACCTTCCTCTCACCGTGTCCAATAGCCTTTTCCTCCTGCGTGTCCAGTATCCTTTCCCTTCCCTCCCCTCTTTCCCCTCCTCCCCTCCTCCCTCCCACTCACTTCTCCTCTCCCCTACTCTCCCTCCTCCTCCTCCCCTGGCCCTCACCCTCCCCCCCTCTCCCCTCACCCCTCCTCCTGCACCTCACGCTTTGCTGATCATGAGTTACATAGACCATCAAATCACGTCCTGAACAGGAAATGGCTGGCGTGAGAGTGAAAGGGAAAGGGAAAGAGAGAGAGAGAGAGAGAGAGAGAGAGAGAGAGAGAGAGAGAGAGAGAGAAGAGAGAGAGAGAGAGAGAGAGAGAGAGAGAGAGAGAGAGAGAGGAGAGAGAGGGAGAGAGAGAGAGAGAGAGAGAGAGAGTGTAGGGGAGAGAGAGGAGAGAGAGAGAGGGATGAGAGAGAGAGGAGAGGAGAGAGGAGAGAGAGAGAGAGAGAGAGAGAGAGAGAGAGAGAGAGAGAGAGAGAAGAGAGAGAGAGAGCGGGGGGGGGGGGGAGAAAGAGAAAAGAGAAAAGAGAGAAAAGGGAAGAGAGAGAGAAAGTGAAAGATAAAAATAGAGACAAACCCATCCTCAGAACGACAAACAAAACAGCCAGGAATCCCACACACAAAAAATAACGCACCGAACGAACAGGAAGAGAGCCAAAAGAGGAAAACAGAACGAGAGGAAGAACGGAAGGAAGGAAGGAACTAAGGAAGCAGGAAGGAAGTGGCTGCCACAGGCTAGTTATCACCGGCAGAGACAAAGAGGAAGTGATCAGGAGGAAGAAGAAGAGAAGGCCAGCTGCTGCACGGAACTGATTGGAGCGAGAGAAGGGAAATCAGTGAGAGGGAGAGGGGAAAGCCGGAAGTTGAGGGAAGGTGGGAGGAAGAGAGTGAGAGAGAGAGGGGGGGGGAGAAAGGGTGGAGGGAGGGAGTGGGGAGAGAGAGAAAGGGAGAGAGAGAGAGAGAGAGAGAGAGGGGGGGAGAGAGAGAGAGAAAGAGAAAGAGAGAAGAGAGAGAAGAGAGAGAGAAGAAAGAGAGAAGAGAGAGAGATAGAGAAGAGAGAGAGAGAGAGAGAGAGAGAGAGAGAGAAGAGAGAGAGAGAGAGAGAGAGAGGAGAGAGAAGAGAGAGAGAGAGAGAGAGAGAGAGAGAGAAGAGAGAGAGAGAGAGAGAGAGAGAAGAGGGAGGGGAGAGGAGGGATGGGGATACAGGGAGAAAGAGAGAAACTATAAACACCAGAAAAGGAAAAATAATGGGAGTGACGTAAGGGTTCACAAGGATAGAAAACGGAAGGAAAAAAAAAGATAAGAAAAAGGAAGAAAAAAAAGAAAAAGAAGATAAAAAGAGGCAAAAGAGAAGAATAGAAAGACAAAGAGAATGAAACGGGGAAATAGGAAAGGATAGAGGATGAAAGAGCAAGGGGTAAGAGAGAGAATACAAAAGATAAAGGGAACAATGGAATAAAAGAAGGAACCAGCGAAACAGGAGAAAGGGTGGAGACAAAGAGCAAAGGTGGGAGAGGTGGGACAGCGATAATTACTTTGCGTGAGATAATCATTAATAATCGAGAGATACGTAATGAACTGAAATGAAGGGGGATAAAAACTCAATTGCAAAGATAATGGCAAGCACAGAGTCAGGATTTTATATATATATATATATATATATATATATATATATTATATAATATATATATATATACTATATATATATATATAGTATATCATATGTGTGTGTGTGTGTGTGTGTGTGTGTGTGTGTGTGTGTGTGTGTGTGTGTGTGTGTGTGTGTGTGTGTGTGTGTGTGTTGTGTGTGTACATACATACATACTCACACTCACACACACACACATACACACACACAACACACAGCACACATACACAACACACACACACACACACTACACCACATATATATATATATAATATATATTATATATATATATATATATATACTATACATATCATATATATTATATATAATATATATTTAATATTATTATATATATATATATACTATATACATTTACACGCACACAATGCACACACAATACATATATATAACATATATAACTACATATATAATATATATCATATTACATAATACATATACTACATACATACATACATATATATTGTATATATACATAATATATATATATATTATATATATTTATATTATGTACAAATATGTAACAACACACACACACACAACACACACACACACACCACAACACACACACACAGCACATATATATTATTATATATATAATATATATAATAGTACTATTATGTGTGTGTGTGTGTGTGTGTGTGTGTGTGTGTGTGTGTGTGTGTGTGTGTGTGTGTGTGTGCACATATGCTTTGGAAGTATAAAAATACCAAGTG